ACAAACACAGGTGGGATTCAGTCAATTCTCACTGGTTCGCTGGAACAGTTAGTTAATTGCTTATGCAGTTCGGAGAACCAGATAAAGAGTTTTCTCTCTCTCTTCGCCCCCTTCAGTTAATAGCCCCGGGAAGACAGCCAATAACTACTTAACAATTGCAGCTGGAATGCAGCCATACATGCTGAATCAAGTCAATAAATAACAAAAAATGACAGGATCAATCTATCAATCACCTATCTAGGGATGGGATTAGCCTCTTCCCTTCAGGAAGAAGGATGAGATTACAAACATTTTCATTATAAAAGGTATTAAGTAACACTTCTGTGATCAGCTGATGCTCCCTGGAGTTCCCCAAGACCTTTTATTGCTGCTGCAGTGTGGGCTACTTGTTTTTTCTTGGGGGGGGGGGGGAGAGATATAGGAGGGGACAATGTTGCAACTTGATCATACAGGCCGTGAATTTAATGCATGTGTGGTCCAGCCAGCTGTATTGCTGTGAAGCACCCAATTTAGAATATAGAGAACATAGAATAGAGTTGGAAGGGTTAATGGCTTTTGGCAACATGCCCAGGCTTTCAATTAGCACAAGCAGCTGCTCTTAGTTTCCCCCTCAGCCGGTGCATTTGCTTTGGGGTTGACTATCTTTTAAAAGGGGAATGGCTGTTTTAAGTTTTCTGCATTGTTTTAGTGGTTCCTGGCACTGTCTTTTTGGGGTGTACTTCCCTCACTCTTTTTGAAAGCCTCTAGTGATGGAGCACCCACAACTTCTGAAGACAAGCTGTTCCATTGGTTGGTCTCACCCTTAGGAAATTTCTCCTTAGTCCTAGGTTGCTTCTCTCTTTGGTTAGTTCCATCAATTGTTTCTTGTGCCTTTTGGTGCTTTGGAAAATAGATTGATGCCCTCATTTTTATAGTAGCCCCTCAAATTTCCTGACAAAACATTTAATCAGTGAAACAACTTGTCTCCAGAATTGTAAATGCTGCAATACAATGTTTTTAAGAAAAGATTTGATAACCATTAGTCTGAAGTGGTGTAGGGTTTCCTGCCTGAGCAGAAAGTTGGAATAGAAGACGTCCAAAGTTCTTTACAATTCTGTTATTCCAGAGTTGTTCTAAGACCTCCAAGGTTCTTTACAACTCTGTTATTCTATTCTATTTTAAATATTAGAACAGTGCTATTTTATTGTGCTATTTTATTATGAGTTGGGCTAAAGAGAAATTTCCTAAGGGTGAGACCAATCAAGTTGGCCATGCCTACCTAATCACATGACCACCCAACCATGTCCACCAAGTCATTAGGGCAGAGAACTGGTTGTTCAATTATTTGAGTTCCATCACTGGTTACAAACCATTTCAGTGACTATAATCAATAATTTTGGTGATTGTAATCAATCCTTCCCCAACTGATTGCTTAATTACAGGGACTTGAAAAATCTTGTGCTCCAAAAGGGAGGAAAACAGGCGTATCCAGTTTTAACTAGCTTTGTTTAGGAGCATGCTCAGGGCAAACCTGATGAAGACACTTTTCTAAAGAAAGCAAGGCCAAAAAGAAAAAAGAAAAGGCTCCAGAAAACTATTGCTTCACTTCAGCTGAGAGGGCCATATGTTCTACCCAGTTCTCTCTCTTGTTCTCTCTCTCTCTCTCTTCCTCCCTCCTTCCTCCCTCCCTCCCTCCCTCCCTCCCTCTCTCTCTCTCTCACACACACACTCACACAGCAAGTGGAACAGGCACACAATTACAAAAGTAACACTGTATGGTACTCCCCATAACCTTAGGGATAGTTTCTAATGGAAAGGGAGAGTAGAAATTTTACATATAAGTAGTAATAACAAACTGCCTGGTGTCGTGGGTACCAGTGCAGTGGTGGACTTCAAATTTTTTTACTACCGGTTCTGTGGTCGTGGCTTGGTGGTCGTGGCTTGGTGGGTGTGGCAGGGGAAGGATACTCTAAAATTTCCAGTCAGAGGTAGTATTTGCTGGTTCTCTGAACTACTCAAAATTTCTGCTACCGCTTCTCCAGAACTGGCCAGAACCTGCTGAATACCACCTCTGTACCAGTGTAGTTGTCAGGACTTAATACTAGAGGCCACCTAAACATATACTCAAAGCTACCTTGAGTATACTCTTGACTCCTTTGACTCCTTCTGCTTAATGCTGCCAGCTTCCCTATTACTTGCTAAATAAATAAATAAGTAAGTAAGTAAATAAATAAATAAATAAATAAATAAATACCACAAAGCCAAATGCCAACCTTCAGCCTTATTTTTTAATCACATAGCTATTCTGAAAACTGGATAGCTGTAGTCCAGTGCTTTCTTTAGAAGTATGCCCAGCAGAAAGAAATAACGAAGATGAACTGAAGGAGTATCAATCATCCTGGAAGACAGAAGATAGTTAGAAGCAACCTTATGTAACGGACATGAGCTAAACAGATGATTCACTGTGCTCAATACTGCAGCTATGGTTTGAATATGGGAGTCTCCCACAGCAGACATTTTGTGACAGTGGCCAAGCTACGTTCTCTAATTTTCCATTTTTCCTTGATCAAAAAAGATTGCTTATCATGGTAACTAATTCTGGTAATCACAGAATCCTGGGTATTAGATTGTGACCATCCTTTTCAGAGCTATTTTAGCCTCCTTTCCTGAATTCTCAGCTGTCCTTGAAAAAAAATTTCTAGGTTGTTTTGCTTGGCTAATATATGGGCAAGCATGCTTACTACTTAATAAGTAAATCTGCTCCTAGTCCTCAAAAATGAGCACCAAGAACAGATTAAAAACACTATAAAAACACAAGACTAAGTATGGTCAGTTGCTATTATGTACAAACCAAGCAGCTATTGAATGGAGGAAAAAATATAATAAAAAAGAAATTGGTCCCCTTGACATTTCTGCATAGGACTTGGATCAGGGTGACATGTACAGAATAGTTTCGACTTCAGAAATCTGATTTCCTAAGATGCAGCTCAGATACGTAAGACACAAAACTGTCTTAAAGAAATAAAACTGTCTTAAAGAAACTCTTAAAGAAATACATTCAAAAAGCAACTTAATCATTGAAGGAAGTTGTGGTATTCCAGTTGTTTCCAGTTTTGTTTTGCCAATTATTTAAAAGCATATTCAATCATAATAGCAATTCATGCAACTACAAGGTAATCTCCAAGTAACAACTGGGTTATATAATTTCCTAGATCCAAATTGTGTATTAAGAAAAACTCTGTGTTCTTAGATCAAACGCATTAGTGAAGAATGAGGATTTCAGAATATTTTCATCTGGGATTCAACACTTCATCCTGGGCTTTGGTACTGCATTGGCCCTCCATCCTTGGGATCACATGCCATTGTCTTCTTTTGGGCAACCAAGTCAATTTCCTTTCATCTTAACTACAGTATAGCCAAAATTATCATACCTCAAAGTTTTGTAACACTTCGGAATAGTCCATTTTCTCCTTCCCAGGAGCTCTCACTCAGCCTGCCTCTCACCTGAACTTTATAACTTTGTAGCAGATTTTACAGGCAATATGATTCCAAATCTTAATCCTGTTTATTTAGTCCCTGTTTTAAAAAAATAAAATACCTTGGCATCCCAGTTTTCCTTGTTTGTATAAGCAGCATTTATTTTCTCTCTCTCTCTCTCTCTGAGTAAAGCAGAAGTAAATAGGTTTTTGTTATTCTAGGAGCTGTCAAAGCTCAAAAATTGGGGCACTAACTAGTCAGCTGAAAGGAGCACTGGTTGACTCATGGTGTTCCTTGGCTGTTTTCTGCATTCTTACAATACCAGGGATGAAGGCACTTGAAGCTGATAGCTTGAAGTTGATACTTCTTTCAGAACATGAAATGCTCTGTGCAAAAATATTCATGAACTTACATTGGGATGAACTGTGAAGAGTTTTTCCATGATATGAAAAATATGGTGCAGAAACCCTTTAAAACTGATGCTAAATTCTTGCCATAGTGAAACAGCTTATTTTCTTTTACTTATTTCTTCCAGTCCTCTGACATTAGGAGGAAATACTGCCAGCTGGTCATCATACAAGCTTTTAATTCACTTTCCTCCAGAAGTAATTAAAAACCCTACGTCATCATCTCACCTTAATAGTTTAAAAAAAAAATCTCTTGAAACTCACTGTTTAACTGGTGATCCCAACATTTCCTTTACTGGTAGGACTGAATGAATTCTGAGGTTCAAGATATCTCTGAAAGTTCATAAATGGCAGTTCAGGATGGATAAAATGGATTATTACTGCAATGCTGCCACCTGGTAGTCAACAGCACAGTAGCATTAGGGAAAGAAGAAAAATACTCTTCAGTCCACATTCCTTTTAAATGAAAGATCAGATCTAATATTTATCTAATAAAAGTCTGACACAACTGTGCACTAAAAATGGCCACTCCATTCCACTCTGGTTTTCAATCTTGTTATTTACCCCTGCTGAGTTTTTATTTGAAATTTGTGGAGATAAGCGCTAGAACTTTAATTCCCTATATTGATCAAAGTGGAAGGGTAGTTCTGTTGTATAGCTCATCAAGGAATACATTTTCAGAGTAGATTTGGTACACTGACACTGTTCCAAATGTGACACAATTCAACCCAAATTAAGCAACCCTGTTCTGCTCCATTTCAGTGAATGGGACTTACCAATGCATAACTTCAGCTGCATCTATTCATAGTGTTGGAATTTACATTGATATGCTGAGGTTTCGTGTACATAATTAAAGACACAAATGATATGCCATGGAGAGGAATACACAAAGACATCATTTTGGGCACTGGGGTGTACATAAGTCCTACATTGGATGAACAGTGGGGCCTGTTTTGGATGGTTCACACTCTCTGACACATGGAACTCAGCTATATTTAAACTGGCAGAGGAATTTTGTCAAGTGCCTCTGTACTGTTGATAAGGTGGCAGTATTGACAACAGAAAGGGAACAAGAGGGAGGAGCAGGAGGGGGCTTCTGAGTAGTATTTCTTAGAGGGGGTCTTGGTAGTCCTTCAGTCTCCTTGCAGTGCCACTCAGTGAAAGGGTCCTTTCAATTCACAAGCCAACAAGAAGATGCCAGAACCTACAAAGAAACCAGGTAAGGATAACTGGAGATGGAACAAAAGATGTTACTTGAATAAACATAAAGATGGAGCAGGTCTCTTCATTATATAGTGAAATAAGATGCCTTAACAATAAAGTTACATGAGAGAAAAATTAACCAGTATTACCTTTTGAAGTAGGCAAACAGAAATATAATTAAAGGATAATTAAAATAAAGTGGAGTAGTTAATTTAAAATAGAGGGTGGCTATACATTCTTTATTTCTCTGTCCCTTTCAAATTGTAGCTTGTGATTTTTCTCTGATTTTTTTTCTGGGAGATGTGACTCCCATTGTTATTTATTTTTGTCCTGAACTTCCATGCAAATATAAGTTTATGGGGAGCTGAGAAAATGAGGTACTTTATTTAAGATGTAATTTTTGCTCAATAAGATTAATCCTTCTGGTGACAGAAATCCATAAATAATGCTTTCCTTTATCCTTTTGAAATATGAGATATGAGAGCTCTCATCCAGAAAAGCTATTTTGATATCTTTTCTGAAAGACTATTTAAATGAAAATGAGAAAAGCCAAGCCCCATTATTCCCTTGTTAAATGTCTGCACCTTCAAAAACATACATGCTTCATTCCTGAAATTTAAACCTTCTTTAAAAAAAAAAGTTTTTATTTTTTACAACAAACATACGAGCAAACATAAAAACATAAAACCATCTTTCAATTATATACATACAGTGTGTCAGTTGGTTACAATATTTTGTGCTATCCTTTTTTACTATTACTCATAAGTTATATAAATTCTCAACTTATCGATCTAGCTTGTGCTTATATAATATCAATTATTAAACATTCATTTGACTATTTTTCCATCATTTTATACAAGATATTCTAATTTTCATTATGATTTAATCTTATACATTCATCCAATGGTTGTATATTTTATATTGTATTCTATATCAATCTATTAACTTTTATTGTAAGGCTTACTAATCTATTTCTTTACCATGTCTTTTCATCTAACCATTGATAAAATAAATCCCATATCATATAAAATTGTTTATCTCTTGTTCTCTAATTTCAAATGTCAATTTACTCATTTCGGCACAGTCCATGATTTTCTTAATAATTTCTTCCTGCATACGTATTTTTTTCATTTTTCCAATTCTTAGCAAATACAATTCTAGCCGCTGTTAAAACATTTACGATCAAATATTTCAATTCTTTACAATATATTTCCCGTATAATTCCCAATAAAAATATCTCAGGTTTAAAGTCTATGAGTTGTTTTGTCATTTTTTCCAACCATGTGTAGATTATAGTCCAATATCTTTTTGCATCTGAGCATGTCCACCACATGTGGTAATATGAACTAGGTATCTGATGACATTTCCAACATTTATCCGATTTATTCTTGAACATCCAGCAATTCTTGTTGGGGGTAAGTGCCACCTGTAAAACATTTTATACAAATTTTCTTTATATGCAGTTGACATTGTCATTTTATAATTTTGAGACCACAATTTTTGCCATTTATCTAAGTCAATCCCATATACCAAATTTTTCCCCCACGCAATCATTGTTTCTTTTACTTGTTCTTCCTCTAATTTAAACTCTAGCAAATGTCCATAAAGTTTTTTGATTACTTTTTCATCAGTACCTGTCAAAATTTTATCTAAATCAGTCAACTTATCATAGATACCTTCTGTTTTAACATCTTTTTCAAATCTAGATTGTATTTGCAAATATGAAAACCAATTTAAACCTTCTTTAATGGTCCTTACTTAAGATCATATAATATTGAATGCTACATTCCGAGACAAGTTACTGGGGAATGGATCCATTGCTGTGATTGAACATTAGATGCAATTAACTCATATTTGCCAGGATATAAAATTGGTGAAAAAAAGACCCTTTTCTTTTTACAATCTCCTATTATATTGAGGACTGATAATCTGGAATCTACTAACTGCCTGGCTTAAAAGATAGTTATTACCCATGTTTGTATGTTTATTTTCCCAATTCAAATATCTCTTCTAACATATAGCATTCATTTGTTACTGTATATATGGATATGCAATTTCTGTATGCAAGGTGCCTAGGCTAAAAATATGTGAGAGCTCAAAAAAATCAGGACATTAGAAATGCAGAAGCAACCCAGCAATGCCTTCTTAGGAAACAGAGAGACATTAAACTGGTGAGAATGCCATTGCTATTATACTATAATCAACAGTACCTGAGAAGACATAGAGGACTTCCACAGCAAATATTTGCTTTGTCCCAGTCAATTCTTGTGATCTCAGGTCTGATGAAATCCACATGCATTCTCTAAGACTCTTCCATTGTGGCGCCCTTCCTCTTTGGTTTTAACGATAAATCCTAAAAGAACACACAGAAGTAATTGATGTCTAAGAAGAATGGAATTACAGGTGTACATAGATGAATTTAGTTACTACGCAGAAGTAGAATGTTATAGGAAGAAAACCCGAATTAGGTACATTTTGGTATACGTTGGTAAAAGTATCTGTAGGGGAAGGCAGGGAGGAAGATAGACCAACAAGAATTGAATGGTGATATTGTGATGCAAGCCCTATCCTTTTTCTATGCATGTTGTAAAAGGGGTGGAGCATGTGGCATGATGCTGTTATTTGGAGAATAAGGGGAAAAGGTTAGATGTAAATAAAAATAATGTTAGGGGTATGACACTCTTGTTGAACTACTCTGTATGACTAGAGGCCTGTGGAAAGGCTGAATGACTTTCATGAAATAGGGCTTGTGTCTTTAGTTGTCATTGGGTCCTAATTAAGCCCTAGCAATGTTAACAGTGAAAACATCTGGAAGATCTTGTTTGGGCTGGGGCAGGAGAACGATGATCAGCATTTTGAATAGGAGATCTCTGGGGAATACCAAAGCTGTAGATTAGAGTCAAAGGCCAAAAGAACTCCCAGAAGACAATGGTAAACCACTTCCATGTCCAACAATATCCACAGGCTTCTGCATCATTTCTCAGAAATTTCTCCACCACAGACCTCAATTGCCACTGTCCGATAGATGCCATAGATCTGGAGAGGGGGGACATTGCATTTGCTATATAATGAGGGGACTCCAATGAGATTGTTTAAATTGATATTGCAAACTGAGTTAGCATGCCCTTTTTCACAACTTTGAGTATACAACCTCATCACAAAGCTTTAAGAGTACTAAATCTGCTTTTAAATGTAAATCTGAAAATACTAGGGAAAATAATTATAACTATTCTACACATTAATGGACTTGTGGGACAACAGATGCATGGAAAAATTATATACAAAGGCAGGCTTGGTATGCACGTCTTACTGGCAGTTTTTTGCTCAGGTTACTATACTGGAATTTATAGCCTCAGCTGCTGTAGCGGAAGAAGAATGTAAGATTGTAAGACATCACAACTTGGGATCAAGGGAGAGCTAAGCCTGTTAATGGAGCAGCTAGGAAATTTATAATAACTTTAAATATAGTTCCAGAGCAAAACATTGGCTAATTTGCTCACTGATCCAGCTGAAGCTGCCAGGTGCACACACCAAACTCATTTCCATTTGCTGTACTTTGTGGAAAGAGAGGAAAATAACATATTACTATAATAAGAAATCAGCTAAGGAAAATTATTATTTTTATGTTTCTCTCTGTGCTGAGTACAACATATGAAACTAACAGCAAGAAAACTTCTCCCAGACCAGAGCTGTTCTGATGATAAAATGGTAAGTGGGAAGCAATTTGAAAAGCTACTGAGAGATCAACCTTTGACTAAACCGAAGGAATCAGGAAGAGTAGATTTGATAGACTTAATAGACTTAGATTAAGATCTCTCTCTCCCTCTCTCCCTCTCATCATTACTCCCCTCATATCATGGTTCAAAGAACAAGATGAAATATTCCAGCAGCATTTTGTCATTGAGAATTTATTCATGTTATCCCTGTGCTCTGTTCCTGGCCAGCAACCAATTTTGTAGGACAGAAACAGATAACATTGTTCTTTAATCTCTCCTTCCCATGACTTACATAACCTCTGGGCACATTCCCCTGAGGCCTATCCTCTGTTTCTCAGCTACTTCACAGAGGAAGGAATGCTCCTCATTTCTTTTTTGAAGGAAGTCTTTTGCTGTGCACATAAGAAGTTATCCCAGTGGCGTAGTGGCGTAATGCACAGAATGGTCCTGGATTCGAAACCAACAAAAATGGCTGGATTTTAAATTATTTTTTCTCTCTGACATCCCTGTTTTTCCTAGGCTTTTCTTTTTAATAAGAAAAAGAATCAGGAGCCCTGGGACTTATTTAAAGAACAAAACCTAGGAGAAAATAGGAATGTCAGGAAAAGTCAAATATAGTTTCAAAAAAAATCTGAATTTTCTGTGTATGAAACAAGTTCTTAATTGTTATGCTCTTGATGCAATATTGCAACAGAAGCTCTAAAAGACCTTCTGGAAGGCAAAAAGAGAAACTTTAATTTAAATGTAATGCCCACATACTACTTGTATTTTGAATCATTAACTTTAGCATATATAAATTTAATTTATAAAAAATATGTGTACACACCATTGCTTTCCTAAACAATTGGGAAGGGACAATAGTAGAGGAAGTGTCCAGTAAGAGGAGATCGTAATCCTGGGTCTTTTTAAAGATGTTACCAAAACAATTCAGTCCCCACCAGGTTTTGCTTAAGCAGGGTTGGATTTAAATTGCCACAAGATAGAAAGAACAGAGGCCCTCAAACTTGGCAACTTTAAGACTTGTGGACTTCAACTCCCAGAATCCCTCTGAGATAGAAGCTGCTTAAAAAGGCATTGTTGACAGACCATTAAAGTATTTATGGATGATTTAAAGGCTAAAAAGGCTGGGTGACAACAACTGCCTTTACAAAGCTATCCCTCTAAATCTTTTTATCCTCCTGCTTTGAAGGGAGAAGAGGAGCAGTGTTCGTCTTGCAGTCATTTTCCAAACTGGCTTGACTTCCAAGAATGCTGTAACCCAGTCCTGTTAGATATAATGTAAATGTCAGGACTTAATTTTTGCTACCTACAACATAACATTTGCTTCGTGTTGGAAGTTCCACTCTTCTATGTATTGTCTCATTCTCAGTGACTGTCCTCCGAAAGCAGCAGATACAGTCAAAATGTATGCATTGGCCCACCCCATCCCCTTAACTTCTTTACAAATTTTATTCTCAGGGCTGTCATCACTTCCTACTCCTTCTCATTACTGTTACTTCTCTGATAATTGCATTAGATACTAGACCGCCTCCATCTGGTCTTGCAGTTTGCATAAGCTGTCATTATTTTACTTTGACTACAGCTACATCAAGCATGCTGGCTTTCTGTCTAAATATATTTTCCTAATAAAGGGCTTCTGAGAGAGACAGGAGCACTCCTCTGCAGAAATCCTTTGGTGAAATGCTTGTTATTTCCTCTATATTTTACTCCATAAAGTGCCTCTGCTATCTAGAGAGACTTGTATTCACTTCAACACAGTCCAAGTTTTCTGTTTATTTTTAAATCTTCTTTTTTCAGAACTCAAGAGATTCAAACTGAAATTACTCTACATATAGTCATCTAAATCTCATACGTGTCAACAATGAAAAAAAGCAGTCCCATATCTGAGGCTTTCAGTTATTATACCCTTTAAATTAAAGCAGCTAAGGAACCCTGAATTCTTATCCTGAGGCCAGCTGAAACCATCCAGCCCAGGGGTGTCAAACTCACGGCGTCACAGCGTCGTCACATGATGTATCGGGACTTTTTTCCCCTTTGCTAAACTGGGACGGGTGGGGCCAACACATCATGCACCCGGCCCGCAGGCCGTGAGTTTGACACCCCTGATCCAGCCCATTTTTGCCTTCACAATGACATTTGCAGAAAATCATGATTTCATGATTTTCATGATTTTGAGTCGAGACAAGCTAAAAACTATAAACCCTAAAACAGGCTTAACAAAATAAAAGATCTTCCCCAAACTGCAGAAAAACAGAAAATCTTTTTCTCTGTATGTATTGTCATTTGTAGCTAATTTGTGTTTCTTCTATGAAATCTGAAAAGTTTTAAAAGTATCATTAATTTGTTATTTGAGGGGAAGAATCCATTATGACACCTTATTTTCCCAAAAGAGATATTCCCAGCCATTTTGAAGTCAGTATTGCTCCAAAGAGTCAATTTTTCATGAGAAGAAAAATCAAAATAAGCCTATTTTATGAGGTAAAATATGTTTACATTTTAGCTAATCCTACTTAATGTATCACATAAACTACACTACTAATAGCTCTTATTAAAAACTTAAGGGCTAATTGATAACTTTAGTTAAGCTCCTTGTGCACATGAGTGCCCATTTGTATTTAAACCCAGAAAATATAGTTTGTGCATAATAAATCAGTGATACTTGCTTCTCCTGTCCCAAGGATCAATGTCATTACTTTATTAATTTGATCCTTTGTACTTCCTCTCACCAGTTATCCACATTCCCCTTCACGAAGCAGGCTGGGATTACTGCAGTGTTGGGATTCAATATTTTTTACTACCGGTTCTGTAGGCGTGGTTTGGTGTGTGTGGCAGGGGAAGGATACTGTAAAATCTCCAGTCAGAGGTGGCATTTGCTGGTTCTCTGAACTAGTCAAAATTTCCACTACCGGTTCTCCAGAACTGGTCAGAACCTGCTGAATACCATCTCTGGATTACTAGTTTATGAAACAGGATATTACATAGGGAAAGAAATCTCTTTGTCTCAAATGCAAAGTCCTAGTTTAAAACATAACCTATGCAGGTTGAGCTTGTGACGTTAGCATGGGAAACGGCTTAAACTAAAAAATCATGGTTAGAATTTTTTTCCAATTGTACTTTAGCAAATCTCACCAAGATTCTCAGAAAGTTTCATAGGGCGATTGCTTGTAATTACCAACCAACAGTACATTCGTAACCAGCAGTACATTCGGGAAACAATGCATTTCACTAACCAGCATCTCTGAAAGATTTAGTAATGCAAGCTTCAGAGATCACCATACAGTATATTTAATGTCACCAAAACACAGATAGCTGAGACCAGGTCTAGCTTTTTCTGAGAGGGTCATTATCTAACTAGATAGGAATTCTGGCTTCTACAGAAAAACAAAGCATTTCATTGGAAAGGAAATAAAACTGGCCTTCCTGTTTTCTGGTTCATAGCAGTGGGTTGCCTAAACAACAGGTGGTTGAGGTAAAATGGAGCTAGTATCAAAGTGGTGGTATTAAAAGTCCATATTCAGTCTGGTCCCAGACTGAATAAAAGAATTTATGATCATCTGCTTCAGTTCTGAAAGTCAACACCTATAAAAATATTGCAAATGATATAGGTAAGGGGGATTAGAAAATAGGGTAGAGCAGTAGTCCTCAGCCTTTTGGGCATGGAGAGATGTTTTTCCACAAATGGAAGGGGCATGTTTTGTGTGCTGTTTGCATCCCATGGATGGGCCTTCTCTTGTTTCCATGGCCCAGTTTTTGGCATGCTACCAATCTGTGCCAGTCCACGGACCGGGGGTTGGAGACCCCTGGGATAGACTATTTTGCACTTTTTATTTTTATTTGCCATCTTTTTAGCTTCAGCGTTCATCAAGAAACCAAAGACAAAAGATGTCTCAGCAGGAGGCACGGCTGTTTTTGAAGCAGAGACGGAGAAGACGGGCATCAAGGTGAAATGGCAGCAAAATGGTGTAGAACTTGCCACAAGTGAGAAGTATGTTATCAAATCGGAGGGGAATAAGCACTTCTTGACCATTAATAACGTTGGAAAAGAGGATGATGCCACTTATGCTGTCATTGCTGGAAGTTCCAAGGTCAAATTTGAACTTAAAGTGACAGAACCAGGTAAACCAGAAGTCCCAAGTGACTGTTTTGATCCATCATTACTGTGACATATGACCTTCCCTTGAAGACGTTTAAGACAAAGCCAATAAAATGGGGGTGTTCCCAGGGAGATGTTAAAAGGGTGGGGAGCAAGATGCTAGCCATGAATATGCAATTGAAACCCTGTCTCTTTTTTATGTGTGATGCCTCAGCAGGCATCTCTGTCATAAACCAAAAATAATCATCCTATCCACATGGGGGGGGGGAACCACTGTTTGAAAACAGAGTGTGGTATTTCCCTTGTATTTGAACTATTATTTATTGTCATTTGAAATCCAATTTGGGAACCACTAGGCTAAATGACATGACCATAGAACAATAGTTGGATTCAGCACAAACCTCCCACAAGCAGATAAGTCATGCATTTGCAAGGCCATTGAACAAGCAGAGGTTAGATGGGGGAAGAGGCAATCCATCACAAAACCATTCAAACCAGTGAAGCTTCGAGGTGATGAAGAGGATTTGTAAAATTCCATTTATTGTCCCCAAAGTGCTTTTTCCAAAAGGCAAGTGGGCTTTCTTGTTTTGTTTTTCTCCCCTTTTGAAAATGTTTCTCTTTTTATCCACCAATTCCCCATCAGGCAGTTAAAATTGAAGAAGTTTCTTGGATGATGAGCAAAGTGTTTTCCAAAAAAAAAAAAAAAAAAGACATCCAGTTGCCTTTTGGAAAAAAGCACCTCTGGGACAACCATTACTAGGATGACTGAGAATTTTCAAAGAATTCAGCTTATTGAACACGGGGAAAAAAAAGTCAGTTCTGCAAAAGAAAAAGTTCATAAATTATCACAGAGTGTAGATTTGGGAAGGCATTTTGGAGATAATTTGGTCCAGTCTCCTGCCCAATCTACTATTAAAACATCCAACCTCCATTTACATTCTTCCAGTGAAGAATGGAAGTGAAGTCCACTGGCTCTGAGGCAGGCTGTTCCACAATTGAATAACTCTTGCTATTAGAAAATTCTTCTTGATACATTAATTTTTTTTAATTTGTCAGTATTAACTAGAATCTTAATTTTGCCAAAAAATGTCATATTCCTACAATGTGCTGTAAACTTTCATTTAAAAAGAATTCTCCTATGGTGTCTTTTTTTTTTTTTAGAAAAAATGGGGGAGGTTCCTCCTGTCATGTCTTCTGATCAACCCACCTTCTCAGACATAGTTACTGTCCCAAACACTGGACCTACAAATGCTGAATCTAAAGATGCTGAAGCTACAAGTGATAACAAAGTCTCAGAAGGTAAAAATAGTAACAGGCACGAAGATTAATCTGACCCTAATTATAAGAAAATGAATATTTACTGACAACAAAGAGAATATTAAAAAAAATCCACATTATGTGGCTTGACAAACTATGTTACTATTATTTGTTCTTTAGTATATACAGAGTCACTTAGATGAGATGGACAGAATAGAAATGTGATGAATAAATAAATAAATAAAAATAAATACAACCAATGTACTATAAAACTTTGCTACTGATGAGAAAATTTGCATACACTTCCATTAACTATTTTTCTCATGTCTGAGCAATTATTATTTTCTCCCTTTGGGGGAAATATCAAAATAATATTATAATAGACCAAGCCACCGATCTGTTTAGTTCAACGTTGCCTCCACCAACTAGTAACATTTTAAACAAGAACCCAATTTAGAGATTCAGAATATACAGCTGAGGGCTTTTTGTATGAAATGTAGATGCTCTACTTCTTATGTCTAGCCCTTGGTTATCTTTCAGATAATTTGCCAAATTATATACTTGTTTATGCTGATCTGCCCACAGCTGACATCACAAGGACCAACAGCAAAGTAGCTAGTGATTGTACAACTGTGATTAGTTCCCAGTAATCGATTTACTGCAATGAACACTTTTGTTAAATACAGGTCTTTCGAGTATCTGCTGCCATTCTGTCTACTTAAAGTCTGCTCCCTGCTTTTAACAGACCAGACCTGGCATAAATATAGCTGTGTTCTTTTCCATGTCCTCTTGCTTGATAGTGATAGACGGGCATGTTGGTTTATGTAACTTATTGATGACCTTCTGTGGGATCTCCCATCTCGACCTAGCTCATATTTTGTGCACAAACAAGTAGCTGGCATTATATATATGAACATCTGCACAGAACATGAGCTAGCTCTTCCTGTACATAATGCCAGCTACTTATTTGTGCTGTTCAATATATGCTATTCCTGCTTGCATCTTACATCCTGCCGCTATGTATTGGACTGTCTCTGGGGTCTCTCTGCATAGTCTGCACCTTGGATCATTTCTAGTATGATAGTCCACTGTCTCTATGCAGTGGTGGGATTCAAATTTTTTTTAGTACCGGTTCTGTGGGCGTGGCTTGGTGGGCATGGCAGGGGAAGGATACTGTAAAATCTCCAGTCAGAGGTGGGATTTGTCGGTTCTCCGAACTACTCAAAATTTCTGCTACCGGTTCTCCAGAACTGGTCAGAACCTGCTGAATACCATCTCTGCTCTATGCTTAGTGTCTGTTCTTGTGCTGTTGTGCTGTTATGATCAGTGCCTCAGTGCTGTCTTTAAGTCCAGCACTTTCCAGCCACTGGTAACATTTCCCAAAAATTCTGCCACCTCAGCTATCTATCAATATGATATATCTCTTGCCTTGCCCAAGGCACTTCCTCTGCTGGATCTTCCTCCCATGTCTGCTGCTGCCTCAGGCATTCTCTCACAAGCTCATCTTTTAGTGTCATCTGACCAATGTATTCATGGATGCTCTGGGTTTCATCCAGGACAGTGACTTTGAGACTCACCAGACTCCGACCACTGTCTTTCTGGCTAGCGTACAGTCTTTGGGTGTTGGATTTGGCATGGAAGCCTCCATACATCATGAGGAACTTCCAGGTCTTGACACCAGCAGCTTCTATGTCCTTCTTTGGTCAGCTCATTATAGTGGCAGAGTATCTGATGACTGGCGGGGCATACATGTGGATGGCATGGATCTTGTTCACCTTGTATCCTTTATATTTGTGGAAAAAGGTCCCTCCAAGATTCCCCCCTTGAGTTTTCACCAAGAATTGAACAGTCTCCATCATGAGCTTTGAAGGTCCCTGAAGCTCTTTGCAAGGCTATACAAATGGATAAATAGATCTGTAATTTTTATTAAATATTTTTAAAAGGAAGATTAAAAACTAACACAGATTAATATAAAGTAAGGGAAAGAAAGAAAAGAGATAATTAAAAGTGTGAGAAAGAAAAGGAAAGAAGTAAACAAAAAATAGAAAAGAAAGAAAAAAAGATACCCAGAAGTAGCTTTTGATCTTCTTTACTCTACTTATAGGTACAATTATAAATTTACCATTTATACTATGGTTACAACATAACTTTCTTCTTTCTATAATCTATCTTTTTTGTTTTGTATTGTTTTCTAGCTTTAGTGTTCTAACAATTTGTAAACTGCCCAGAGTCACTGGGAATCAGGCCGCATCTACATTCATATTATTATTATTATCATTATTAATTATATTAATCTTGATTTGACTTACAGTTCTTCCTACAGAAGCCCAGAAAGAAATACCTGTCGACCCAATTGGCATTTTTGTGACTCGACCACAGGATGGAGAAGTTGCAATTGGTAAGTGCATGTCACAGATTCTAGGCCAGAAGTAAAAAAAGGGGGGGGGCGGGGCTGGCTGAGAAAAATTCATTTTGTCAGACACATAAACCCAGACCTCCCGTAAAAGGTGGAATGAAAAATTTGGAATCTTTTTGCACTTTTGGGAGGGTGGGGTGCAAAATGCTAGCTTTAATTCTGAAGATGCATAAGTCTCCTATTTCATCCTTTAAACCAGGGGTCCCCAACCACCGGTCCCCGGACCGGTACTGGTCCGTGGATCATTTTTTACCGGGCCGCAAAGCTTGGGCGCCACCATCTTGTTTCGACGGCGCTTCCAGGTTTTCAGTTGCTTCCGGGTTTTCGGTTGGAAAGTGCTTCTGGGTTTTCAGTTGGAAAGCGGCGTTTGGGTGCTCGCACCTTAGTTTCGTCGAAGAGGGGGGCGGCGGCTTCGAACGAAGAGCCGTCCTGATGGCGGTGGAGTCTCGCGTTACTCAGGTACCGGTCCGTGGAAGAATAAATAATCGTGAAACCGGTCCCTGGTTCAAAAAAGGTTGGGGGCCACTGCTTTAAACCTCTGACCCAGCTCCCTTGTGAACCTACAAACCCTGGCATGACTCTCAGGGAAGTTGTCTGTCCCTGTCCTAGGTCCTTAAAGGGAAAGATTGTTTTGCAAAACTAGCGCCTCTGACATAGTCCATGATATAGCAGGAACCCTTTTATTCTGGAAACTCCATACTCACCTAAATTTCTCCCTCAAGGTGGGAACATTACGTTCACTGCTGTAGTGGCAAGTGAAAGCTTGCTGAAGAAACCTACAGCCAAATGGTTCAAGGGAAAGTGGATGGACCTGGGAAGCAAAGTGGGAAAACACCTTCAGCTTCACGAGAGCTATGATCGAACCAACAAGGTACAGCTACCTTAAGAAGAACTTGCCCATTGCACCTTTTTATATTTTGGTGAAAACAGCATAATCGTAACATTAACATTTCTTCTTCTCAGCAATATCAAGCATTGTATATATATATATAGCTACTGTTTTATTATCTTCGTACATAAAATACTGTTTACAACCTCTTGCTTAAACTATGCTGAATAAGAGCTGGTAAAATTTACTTTAGGTGTGAAATGCCACTCGATGTTATGCATCTTCTCCCAATGCATAATTTGAATTAGTTAAGAAAGTACATTTGTTTCAGAAAAAGGATGAAAAAAGTACTTTTTAAGTCTGTTTTTTCCCCAGTGAGTGAATTTTACAGATAAGAAAGGATAATCTCTTAGGGATTAACTTTTTTTAATCAATCTGAGTCTTTTTTTTTTCTTTTTCAGTTTTAAGTGCACTAAACTTGGCTTCATGTATTTCATCACTTCTTTTCTACCATAGTTAGCTAACAATTGTTAGATATGTAGAAAATATAATGAGATCCAGACAGTATAATAAAACAAAGAATGAATATATTACATACATCAAGATAAATTTATAGATATTGAGGATCTCACTAGAGTTCCTAAGCAGGTTTAAATATCCATAAGTTCTTGTGACAAACTATTTGGTAGGGGAAAAAATTAAGAGAAAAAAGAAACAAGAACTTTTCCATTAGGAGAAGATAAAAGGTAAAAAAAATCCCTCGAGCTGAGTTTGGCTCCTAGGGATTCACTGTGAAGTAGTAATTTCATATGTATATTATAGAAAACAAGATGACTATTGGGAAATTTATACAGAAGAAGAACTCTTAGTTAATAACATTCAAGTTTATGTGTCTATCTCCTAAAGAGGTCCAATTATTTCTATTCTATTCTTTTCAAGATTTATGTCTTCGAAATGAACATTATTGATGCAAAACCAACTTATGCAGGGGGATATCGATGTGAGGTGGCTACAAAGGACAAATTTGATAGCTGTAACTTTACCCTGGTTGTCCATGGTAATGTGTTGTATTTTCCTTACTAACAAAATGTTTTATATTTTGGCAACAGTTTATAACATAGTATCAATTTGCTGTATTACAGCTACAATAATATTATAATAGTAATGATTATTATTATTTCATGCTGAATGCTGTGTCTTGTCTAAGGAGAAAATACACATCAAACTAAAATATGTGCTCAGTAAAGAAATGATAAAGTCTGAGTAAAATAGAGTTTTGGAGAAGGAATGTTCATGGATCCATTTCCCCCCCCCCCAAATGTCAGTATGTATTTTAAACCAGGATTTTGTTGGGATTTATAAATTTAAAGATAATTGGAGAATGTACAAGCAAAAATATTTTGCAATTCTATGCCTATCTATCTCAAATTAATTTAAATTGGAAATTACTCCCAGGTGTAGCTATAAAGTGGCAATTTTAACCTGATTATCCATTCAGAAGGTATGCATGGAAGGAATTTCATCTCATATATTTTAGAAACAATGGACACAAAGCAATATAATTCAGTTGCAGTTGCAGTTCTATGTATGAATATTAGTTGTCCTACTCCTAACATGTCTGTGCTGTAAACTGACACAATTGTTTTTCTGCAATTTAATTTGTAATCCAATTACAAAACAGATCACACGTTATTTGTTTTAAATTTGAAAGCGCTAAAACTGCAAGCAAACCGAATTAATTTTGCATCTCTAACAATGTTAGATTGTTTATTCAGCAAAAGTAAGTAGAACGTAAGACCACTGATTCTGTTTTCTCTAAGGCCCAACCCCAAAAGAGGAAGGGAAAATGCTTGCTACCACATGCAGAGCCTCTTCCCACAAATGGTTTGAAAGAATAACTTGCTCATTTCTGTAGCTTGATTTAAATGTAGAAACTTGCCTAATTTTAGAAATCACTCAGGAATTGGAAAAATATCTCAACCATAATTTTGACTTTGATTAGAAGGACATGTGGCCTAATATTTGTCTAAAGCAGGGGTGTCAAACTGGATTTCTTTGAGGGCCAGCTCAGTTCTCCGCGGGATGGCAGGGAGTGGGGGAGACGGGATGGACACCTCCTGCAGTAGGCCGCCAGCCAAAAAGGGGCATGGGGGTGGGCATTTTCAGCCTGGACAGTCTCCTGCAGCACTTTGCTGGCCAAAATGACCCACGGGGGGGCTATCAGAAGCACCGCGGGTTGACCCTTTGCTATTTCCAGGCCAGCCCCGCAGACCAGATTTAAGTTTGAGTTTGACACCCCTGGTCTAAAGGAATCTCCTGGAGAAGCCATTTTTTCCCACTCAATGACCTTCAGCTCAATGGGACTTCAATTCCATTATCTTCCAAAACTCTCCTCATCTCTATCAGCATGTCATTTTTTGAACTCCTATAAGGATATCATTGTATTTCTATAAAGTAAAATCAAGATTTGGATTGTTCTAAATCTAGATTTTCTATCCGTCTCTCAAAAGTAAAATCTTCCAGTTGAATATGACTTCTGGTGACCAAATGAGGCATCTATATATTTTCTCAGCAATAATATGGAAGTGGTTTGCTACTGCATTCTTATGCAATATATTTTCAGCTCTAAGTCTAGCCTACAGGCTTGGGATTTTGAAGTTAGTCTCTTTTTTAAGTATTAAACAAGGCTAGGATTTTCCTTACTGCATGAAATTTTAACCTCTAGATGAAAACTGTAAAAGCTGTACAAAAAAAACCCCAAAAGAACCCAATGTAAGTTTGGGATGAAAGTTTAAGTTGCCTTGGGATATTGTCTTATTGTTATTACCATTTTCTATATAATCACAGAGGCACCTGCCACAGCTGACCTGGACATCCGATCAACATTTCGACGGACGTGAGTGTTATCACCAATGTTTACCCCAGTTTGCCAATGAAGGAGACAACTCTGAATGAAACAAAATGGTTGCTAGGAATATTTCCCTAGATTAAATTAATTAATTCCTTGAGGTCACTCTATTTTGAAATCCTGATTCAACAGTAATCAAATGTAGGTGCACCACATAAAAATAATAGATACAATAGAAATAGACATAATAATACAATAACTTTGTATGATAATGTGATGACCTGGAGCCTGGCACAAAGGCAACCCAGTCAAATAAGCAAGAAATGTCCCTTTAGTACCTCCAACTTTGCCCCCAAAGCCCAGGTTACCTTCGGCTGGAGAAAAAACTCTCCCAAGAACAGTCTTTAAGTGGAGGAAATTCAGTCCAAAAACAAAGTACATACAAACTGTAAATAAAAATCCACACAAACCAGGCTGCAGCAATTAATTTGACAGGACAGGAGAAGGAATTGCAGACTTGAAAGCCCAGTAAAACACACACAGTTGGGAAGACGTCAGGAACCCAGATAAGCCTCGATGATACCAGATAATTCACAATTTGCTCCCAACAACTTTGCTGTGTGCAGCTTCCCTTTTTAAACAGTGTTCCCAGCTGCAGCTAATGAAGGGAATCAGGGCCCTTTCCTTCCCATAAGCCACGCAACCCACATTGCTCCCTTCTCCGTTCCTCCCTGCGTGCCCTAGGATGAAGAGGGGATGGTCCTGAGTCTTCCTCCGAATTCCATCTCACTTGCTCTACCTCTCCCCTGCTCTGCCCAGCCGGACTGTGCCTTTCCCCAGTTTCTTCCACAGCCAACAGAGCCACACTCCCACTCCCTGTCAGCTGCTCGGCCTCCCCCTCTGAATCAGATTCCAACAGAGGCATGACAGATAACCACATACAAAGTTTCTAGAAAACTGATGTATAATGCCAACAGAATGTCACTGGCTAAATATGCATTCCAGATATGCATTCATAGCGTAAGCCAACACGAGAGCATGCTGAGAGTTCCTAACACAGCACAAGGGATTTTGCAATTAGCCCTGTTCCTGAAACTGAGGTCTCTAGCCAAGTGATTCAAGCACAAGCCACATTTGTTTACATGTGTGCATTGCACATCCTAATCTAACAGCCATGTTTATGCGTATGGTCCAAAATAGCATAAACCTTTTCAAGTAGCAATTATAATTTCAGCATTTATAAAATATAATTTTAAATTTAAGCATTGGAATCAATACTTCTGATAAATGCTTCCTATCATGGCAGAGCTACAGAAGAAATCGAAAAAGTGTGGGAAAATCACTTGGTTTGTTTGGAAGTATCCTGATTTTCAGAAGCATCTACAAACAACAAGAGATAACAGCAACAACAACAACAAATCACCTCAAATTTTCTATAGAGATTAAAAGATAACATAGTCTCTGTGTATAGAGTCTGTCATGCCCCTGGTGGAGACTGACTCTGCGGGAGAGGAGGAACAGCTGACAGGGAGTGGAAGTGTGGCTCCAGAGGTGGTGGAGGAGGCTGGGGAAGGGCAGAGGCCGGCTGAGCAGTCAGAGGAGGACCCAGGCCTATCCATCCTAGGGCACGCAGGGAGGAGAGGATAAGGGAGAAACATGGTTTACTCTGGAGGACAGGGCCTTGATCCTCTTCATGGGCTGCAACTGTGACAACTGAATAAGAGTTTGGACCTGCATACTGGCGAACGCTGGGAAAAAAACGTGTAAATACCTCTAGTTTATAGTTCCTTTCTGAGTTTGGCGTTCTTCCCAGTGTGTGTTATCTGTGGACATCCTCCAGCTCTTATATTGCCTGGTTTGTGTTGCTTTTTTCCTTCTTCATGTAACTGTTTGTGTGGGAGTTTTTTTGTCTTCCGTCAAAGATATTCGGAGCTTGGAAGCAAAGTGAAGGAATAAAAGGGGCTTCACCTGTTTTCTGTGACTGTGTTTGTTTTGTATCCCACCCTGGGTCATCACAGAGTCTGAACTTGATCAACATAGTTTTTAAAGCAGGATAGAGAATTAGAAATTTAGATAAATATTTTTTTCAGCAGAAAAAAATTGTGTAAATCCTTTGTATAATTCTAATTTAGGAGCACAGCAGGAGGAAGAAAGTGGACATTAGCAATCAAGTACCTAGTTTTCAGTATTCACCATTGATCATCATTGTGAATTGTCACTCAAACAGCACTTTAAACAAAATTTAACTACAAGCACTAACATGGATAAATGACTTAGACTAAGAATAAGTTTATTGTCACTGAATCACCTCACACAGAAATAAATATGAACTTATTTCTATATGAGGCAATCTTGAGACACAGATTCCTTTGTAGAATAACAAAATGCCTGGCAAATATTCTAAACAAAATAATACTTTATAAAGAACATTGACGTTGCTCATTATTCACCTATATAACCCTAAAATATGGATTGATTTTATTAACCAAATATTTGCCATGCTCCCATATGAAGTCTGCCCTGCAGTTTGAGATGCATAATAGCAATCCTGCTTTCCTTTCAAAGTAGCTTAATATTTTTATGACCCTACACTATCTTTACTGTGTTCACTCTGTCTTCAGAGACAATAGAATGCATTCACTGGTATTTTTGTTAAGTTTCCTGATTAGTTTTCAAAAATTGACATAATGCTTCTTACTTTTGGCTAATTTCAGCATGAAGATGCCACATTAACCATTCATCATTCATCAGTGATTGCTCACAGGACACGTTTATCTATTAACTAGCTATTTCATTTTTAGTGCTTTCTACCTTCTCTTCAATACATCTGGCCACATGAAAGAATCTATAATATCCTACTGACAATGTTCAGAGATTGGCTTCTTCCAACTTTATCTAGCAATTTTAATTAGTTATGGGCATCATCTGGACTCAATACATTGTTTTCTAGGGCTATTCTGCTTTTAGCAGTGTGAAAGTCTTTTTTTTTTTCAAATTAGGCATGTGTCTATCCCAAACAGCCTTATCTCACCATTTCTTCTGCTTCTGTAGAGTTGAACACCTGACAGATAACTCTTATCCCCCATACCTTTTTCACTGCACGAGCACTGACAGCCAAACTGAAGGTTGGATAGAGTGGCAAGAGAAAGGAATAGCAGTAGAACTTAGACTTACCATGTTACTGAAAAATAAGGAAGAGGGGGAGTTTTTTACAATTTGGAATATATGGTACAAATGGTTGTATAAAAAGAAAGTAAAGAAGTCTAGTGAAACTGATTAAAGAAACAACAAGGGAAAATCAAATAAGGATAAATGTATATATAGCTAGGTATATATGTAAAGTAATATAATATAATAAATATTGTATTATAATTGTAACGATAACATAACAAAAAGTAAGGATTTAAGAAATAAGTTATAGATTCACTTGTAACAAATGACTTTAATTGACACTAATAGAAATGTACACTACTATGAAATGTTACAAAAATGTGAGAACATGTTTCTCTTTTTTAAAAATATATTCTTTTTTTTTTTTGAAACTTTGAATAAACATTATTTTTTAAAAAAGAACTTAAACTTATACACTGCTTCATAGTGCTTTACAGCCCTCTCTACACGGTATACAGAGTCATTGCCCTCAACAATTTTGGGTCCTCATTTTATCCACCTCATTTTACCTCATTTTACCGATGACTGAGTCAACCTTGAGCTTGATGGGATCTGAACTGCCAAATTGCAAGTAGCCGACAGTCAGCAGAAGTAGCCTGCAGTACTGCACTCTAAACACTGCACTGAAGCTCAGTGGATGGGGAAGCAACATTTTCTTCAACAGTCTCTGATCACACAGCTGTAGTATTTGATCTGTGAGGTGGTTTGGGATTGTGCCATAATATTCCTGCTTTACTGGACAACCCAATTCAGTTGCACCATAGTATGGTTTAGAGCAGGGATGTTCAACCTTGACAACTTTAAGACTCATGGATTTCAACTCCCAGAATTCCTCAGCCAGTAATTCTGGAAGTTGAAATCCACAAGTCATAAAGAATCAGATTTAGTCAAAATAAATTTTCAATATTGTTTGGATTTTAATGAAAATGAATGATTTTATGTTAATTCCCCCATGGTAAAAATAGAATGATTAAATTCTAATGTATGAACAATTCTTTTTTTATTAATCTTGATCTTCAGTTTAGAAATAACTATTTGAAACAACTCCTCTGAAGTAAGGAAGCTATACTTTTGTCCATAATTTTGCTTTTTGATGTTTGTAAATATTTGCAAATTTTAGTATAAAATGGCATTTAGTTTATGATAAACATTTAAAAATATACCAGAATTGCACTTCTGACAATTAACACAATTGTCATATACTTTGTTTAATTTAACTTCTATTTTGATATGTCTTAATAGTGCTATCAGCATATCTAATAGTGCTTCCAGCATATCTGAAAAATGATAGCTTAGGGATGATTGTTCTTCCAACTACAGTCAACATTTATTTTTATTTGAAATGTGGCAACTTAACTCATTTTCCTGCTCCCTGCCTCCTATGTGCAATTTAACCTTCTGGAGCAGATCTGGAGTATGTGCAAAAGAGGGCAGGGGAAGGAGATACTAATTTCATTGATGGATTCTTTTCCATCATTGGATAACAACTACAGTACCATAAAGACCCAAAGACACTGCTCTTGACTATATTAACCTATACAGTAAAACCAAAACCAAAAATAACAATACACTGTTTGTTATTCAACTAATTAAAATGATTTTATTAAAAAGGCTTATGTTATCTATTGAAAATTGTTGCCCCTATCCATTTCTTGTATATGAGTAACAGCCTAGTATGGATGACATTCGAAACAATATTTGCAGAAAAGGAGATAAGCTTTTTATTGTATGATACCAATCCAGATGCAATGGACTTCAGTGTTTAATACAATTTCCTTGACAAACTTTTAGGAGGAGAAAGGGACAAAATAAGCTGTGTTGTTCTGAGGTTTATTTTGAATCAGACATGATTTTATTTCTTTCATCCTTCTGGCATGGGCTGTCCAATGCCTGTTCCAAGTTAGGGAAGTCTGGTGTGATTATGTATCATTGTATAAAAGCAAAATATTCACCAGGATCTTTTTAAAAAAGTGATTCCTGTTCTTGCTCTGTTACGCAGTGTGGATGGTCAAAATGAAGGCAGAGAGTTGGATTTCACTACCTTGCTGAAAAAGAGGTAAGTGGTCAGGGTGTAGCCAATTCACCTCCAGAACAATGGGACGAAACACTTGTGGGACCAATGAATTATGTGAAGTGCTTTGGCAACATCCTCACATCCATTCCCCCCTCCCCCGCCCCCCAGGGTATGAGATGTGAGATGTCTTTAAGGCTACCAGCTGCGACAAATGTCTGTAATTTCCAATTTTAAAAAGGGGGAGTAGGGAGACTATAATGGCATGAGAACTGATCTCTAGGGTGGTTGCATCTGATTGAGCAACACAATTTGTCAAAAAGTGGATGCAAGGAAAACATTCCCAAAATGGCCATTTCAGTGTGTCAGTGATACTAAGTACTTCTAAGCAGCATAGCACTGTAATCTAGAATATAAGGCTGAGAAAGAAGATTAGGTAATTTAAGGCCACTTGATAGATTGATGTGAAAAAATATTTTTCGTAATTTTCTCTTATTTATTCTCTTTTTTAATTGACAATTTATTTTTCTATCCCTGGTTTTTCATGCTTCTCTCCCTTTTCCCCTTCTTTCTGCATTTTGCTCTGATTTTCATCTCCACTTGGAAATCTTGCTTGGAATTCTGGAACAGAGAGTAAGATTTCACTTTAATTCCTTTTAAACTGCATGAAGTATGTATGGTTTGCACTTTACATAAGCATCCAATTTTTCAGTGCTTTGGAACATCATATATCACCTCAGATATTATTTAAAATATAGCTCGTATGGAAGATGGAGCAGTCACTTTCATTGATTTGCTTGCTTAATATTCTGCTTTAGAGCAGTTTTGTTGCATAATTTCCAAAGATGGTTATTTGGGAACTAATTTTAAGTATCTTCTAGATATGTAATCATATCTAAGGGCCATTTTTCTGCCTTCTTGAAGTAACTTAAGTGGACTAACTTCTTTAATAAGCAGCTTATAAATCAATCATGGATCATGTCTCACAAAAGCTCTTGAGCTAAAATAGCCTTTCTGCAGTAAGTTACATTGAAACATCTTTTTAAATGACAGCTGTTTATGCCTTGTTACTGTCTTATGTTGCTGCAGTGATGTATTGTTTGAGCCTGAAGTTGACTGTGTTAATGTGAGGTAAAAGTATTAACAATAAGACAAAAATTGATACTTGGTCTTATTTAAAACCATAATTATCCTTCAAATGAGATCATATTTTGCTATATGATAATCTATCATAATTTTCAATTATACCTAATGAAGAAAAAAGGAATGGAGGGATAAATGTCACTTCAGTATCAACTAAACTATTTTAACCATAGGAAAACAATATCTTTATTAATATTAATTATCTATGTTCCACTGGAATGTTAGAAAGCTAATTTGAAACCAGCATTGAATCTAAAAATTACTAGTGTTGTCAGGAAGTCCTAGTCTAGGAGAGTTGAACCAAAATAACTTCTAAATATTTCTGCTAAATTATTGGAGTGTTTTCCACACCCTAGCCACTGTGAATTTGCAGCCAGGGTCTGCAAGACTAAAACATGGTAATGTTGGAAGAAATGTCCATCTGGGTTCAGTTCCAAGTGGGAAGAAAGACACTGGAAACATGAAGGCTGTTTGGAAAGATGGTTTAATGATAGACAGCAGGACCACATGATTTGAAATCCTGGGCAGAAAGAGCACATGGGTGAGAGAGGGAGAGAGATTTATACCCTCTGTTGGGCTTTGAACTTGCTTCCTGTTCCTGTGGCAAGAAATGTATCCTGATTGGTGTCAAACTCCCACGGGGTCATGCAGGGGTAACTTTGTAGGTTGTCTTGAGTCCCAAGCTTGGTTGAATCTTGTTGGGTGATGTAATGAGGGGGCTTTGGGCAATTCCTATTATGGCTTAATGGCTTTGTCCTTGTTTGGATCTGAGTGAGGGTAATCCTACCACCCTGGGGGCCTTGTCTTAATCCCATCACCCTGGAGCTGAAGCGGGGCAGGGAGCTGCTGTATATTTAAAAACATGTTCCTCCTTTTCTCGTCCAGGGAAATATAATATTCTGCCTTTTTAATATTTCCTAGAATATTTCATTCTTTTAGGAGAGGGGTGAGTGCTAACTTTCTATGGTAATCAGAAGGATGTAAAACCTTCTTCATATAATCCCAATCTGGACTGGGTACCCCTCTGCCTTCCCTTTTCTCAGATATATTTTGCCATATGTATTACGACAGTGAATAAGCTAGTGTTCTTTCTTTCTTTTCTTTCTTTCTTTCTTTCTTTCTTTCTTTCTTTCTTTCTTTCTTTCCTTCCTTCTTTCTTTCTTTCTTCATTTCTTTCTTTCTGAGGATGGATTAGGCAAGCAAGTATCAAGTATGAGGAAATGGGAAAGGGGGAAGGAGGCCTACTCATACAAAAACCTATCAATGGAAACTGTGTTCTCAACCCATAAAAGGAAAGCAGTTGGTGTTTGCTTTCCCAGCCTGAGTGAGTTGGGTGAGGAGAAAAGATAAACAATCAGAGGAAGCACTTAGTGGCCATAGTAAATGTGGTTGAAATAGAAGAGCAGACTATCACTATAACCAAAGTGAAGGAATGGGTCAAAAATTGGAAAGGATTTCTTAAGCTGAATTCATTTCCAACCAGATGACACACAGAAGAGTAAAGCACTGAGAGGGAAGTGATGGGATGGATTATTTCTCGTCCATTCACTTTACATTCTACTGAGCTCATTAACATGCTATATGTTCATATTGTCAGGGATAACTGCTTTGTTTACATGACTTGGAAAACTATCAGATGCCCCAAGCGCTTCTATCAAGTTATCTTCTTTTGGTATCATCTTTCAGAAAACTGAAGTGTTTTCTCTATTGTGCTCTACTTCAAAGCTATTTTGGGGGGAGGGAGGGGTCACCTTTTAGGAAAAAATGGTACTTGCTCAAATGACATTCCAGCTTGGCACTTAAAAGCAAAACCCACTGGATTCAAAAGAATATATCTGGGGTTTAATGTTATAACCCTAGTTTACTCATTTTTAAACGGATTTTATTTTTAATGTGACTCGTCTGGCTCCGGAAATAAGGGTTTCAGTTTAAATACTTATGGTAGCATAGTGCAACTGATTTGTTCCTGTATTTTTGTTTCATAATCACAGTAAAGAGACAGGAAGATTATGTAACTTTTTTCAGAGGGCTGAAATTTTTTTGGGGGGGGAAATGCATGTACTCGCCCAATGACTCTCTTCTTGGAGCTCATTCCAGTGGAAATTTTATACTATGCTGTGCAGAAGTATTACTTTCCAACAGGGTAGTCTGAATAGATGGCACTGACATACAGGTGCCACAGACCAAACAGAAGGAACAGCTGTCACTCCAGTGTTGGACAGGCAATGAGAGAAACCACTAGAGGAGGTGACAGCTGACATTCTAAAAATCCAAGCAATAGGAAAGGGAAAACCATTGTTAGTTTTTTGCAACAATTTAAACTCTCACAGTTGTTTAGAACATATAACTCCAAGTTAGTTAGGACCAAACGAAACTCTCTAATACACGAGCGAGAGAGAACTATGCCAAATAGTCTCACTCCTGATGACATGATTTTATATAACTCCCTATGCCAAGGTATGCACATGTGAATACTGCAGGGATTATGAAAACTGGTCACTACAGATGCTGGTATTTTTGCAGCATAAGTTTTTACATAGCTTGTTTGCATTTGGTAGGACTAGTTGAAAAAGTAAAACAACAAGGCCCAACCTGGTTCCTTCAAGCTATATGGGAGTACAATTGATATTGCAATGGAAACTATCGTTCAAGACAATGAGAGACCTCGGTTTGGCAAAGAGTGTTTTAATTCTCCCACGCTCATAGGATAATTCTGGGGTTATTTTCTATACCACAAGAAGCATAATGGGGATTAGTTTTCTAAGTGGCAAGTTAAGTGAGATGGAAGAATCCTTTGTTTACATCATTCTTAAGATGGTGCAGAACTGGCTTGTGACTTCAATCTCATTATTTCACCAACTTTGATTGAGACCAAATCAAAGCAAGGATTGATTTTGAGGGGGGCAGTGATGCTTGAATGTGATTTGGAATAGTCCCTTTAGCCTGGATTCTGCTATACTGAAGAATAACGTTTCACTAATTGAACTGAATTACTTCTGTATAAATTAAATATCCAAATCAAGAGCTCTATTTGTATGTTCCCAAAGAGAATGGCACTTGGTAGAATTTCCTCAGTTTTAGAAAAGACCATTAAGAATTGAATCACTCCCTTGTTCTATCTAGCCCACAAGCCAGGTTTCACAATGGCCAATCAAATATACAAAGAAGGCTGCTTGTCTCCCAGTCACACTGATGTCAAACATAGAAACCACCAATCCCCATGAGTTCCATAAATTGGTAGGCAGTACTCCATTTCTAGTAGTGAATTCCAAGGTTTAATTACACATTGTATAAAAGAAAATACTTTCTTTTGTCTTTCCCAATTCTTCCAGGATTTAATTTCATTAGGTAACCTCAGGTTCTAGTATTTTGGGAATGGAAAAAAGATTCTCCTTGGCACTTTACACCACACATAATTTTCTATACTTCAATCATGTCTCCTCTCATTTTCCTCCTTCCTAGACTAAAAAGTCCCAAATGTACGTAACCTTTCCTCATCGTTGTTGGCCTCCTCTGAACCTTCTATAGATCCATTATATTTTTTTGAGGTGCAATCACCAGAACTGCACAAAATATTCCAGATATGGTTACATCATTGTTTAATATAATGATATTATGATATTGTCATCTCTATTTTCAATACTGTTTCTTATTATCTCTAACATAAAATTGATCTTGTTTTTTATAGCAGATGCACAATGCATGAATACTTCCATATAACTTTTTATCATTACTCCAAGATTTCTCTCCTTCATTAGTCACTGCCAGCACTGCACTGATCTCATTAGTTGGTGTAAGTACCCTGTTTCTCCAACAATACGGCCTCCCCCAATAGAAAGTCCCAGCATGTTTTATAGGCATGAAATGAAATTAAGCCCCTCCCCCCAAATTAAGGCCTATATTAAAACATGCAAAATGGGGAGGAATGGTGGGGGGGCTTCCCGTTAGGAAGTACTTTTGTTGCACACCCGGATATAGTGCTGCCTGCGTTGACCCCGATACGAAGTGCCCCACCAACGCTGAGGTCAACATCCAAGCCGTCACTGCCCGCCCGCCTGAAGATGCAAGGGGGGGAATTAAGTCACCCCCGAAAAGACGGCCTAGCCATTTTTTCGGGGCTCAAAAAAAAAAAAGACCCAGCCTTATTATATGAGAAACACGGTAGTTAGGATTTTTGGCACAAGTAAGCCCCTGTCAATTTTTTGAATAAGGTGAACATCCAGAAATACTAGCATTAGTGGCATACTCTTTGAGACTGGTATAAATTATAGACTATAAATTACATTGAATTGGATTGTTGTGTGTCCAGTTGCTTCTCTGCTACCATTTTTCAGTGTGGTAAATATTTAGACTTTCTATCGAGGAGGTTGAAGCTTGTTCTAGTGATGGCTGCTGATACTACTAACTCCTAATGCCCTCTCTCTTGCTTATGGGGATGCCGCTGCATGTTCCTGCAAATGTTTCTCGGCATTGTTTTGAAGTCCAGCAGTTTCTTGCGCTCGGTACATCGGTAAGCATTCATTCCATCTCTTCTCCATTGATAATTGTCAGTAAACCTTTTCTAGAAAGGTAATTGTCTTTTGCACCAAAAGGGGGGCGGGAAGTAACTTTATAGCATAGAGCACCTTAAAGGCTAATAAATATATTACATTTTATGATTTAAAACCTTACCTCTGATGAACTGGACTCTGTTTCATAATATGTGTTAAAATGTAATACTTTAGAAAACTTCATGATTTTGTTAAAAACACATGTTTTTGTTAATAACAAAAAATTATTTATGTATTTAAGAGACATGAAATTAACAAGCAATCTTGATTTCATTATCGTGCATAAGCACACCAATCGGGCCTACCGTCCCTGTCCGATTGTTTCTTTTTATTTTTCTTATAAGTATCTATCTCATGTATTCAAAACTATGTTTATTCTTATACCTGTATCTTGTAAGCGATTGACAAATCAAATATTATCCAAAATTAAATTTTTGCATCCTTTGGACTAAAGTCATCTTTAGAATCCATGAGTGGCACATATCTTTTTAAGTATTAATTTTAAAATAAAGCATTAATCAGTATGTGTAAAAAAGAAAATAAAAAGAAAGCTTTAACTTACCTATACCTAAGGAATATTTTCCCATAAATTCATGTAAAACATGTAAAAAGTTTTCCTATTCCTTAACCACAGCCGTCAGAATCTGAAACTAAGGCCCAGCTGTTGCTTCATCATCAAGCTATTCAGACCACATTTGTACATTCTGCGAAATGTAGGATTACTAATTCTATGTTAGGGAACCAGCAGCATTCTGCTACCTACAGACCTTTTACTCCCATCTTGTTTCTCTTGTTTATGTGAATGGTGAAGTGATCCAGACCCTTCACATTTACTGCATATGTCTAAACCTAAGGTCTAATTCAAGCAAGTTAGAAGGCACACCATTTGTTGCTAGCTCAAAATACCAAATGTTATTATTGACAGGAGAGAACCAAGACCCTGGATGTTGCTCAATTGCTTAAGTGAAATTTAATGTGAGGTTACGTGTCTTTTCTTTGTAGAAATGAAGGAAAAGTTGAATCGCAACCAGAGGTTGATGTGTGGGAAATCCTTCGGAATGCTCCAGCATCAGAATATGAGAAAATTGCATTTCAATATGGCATCACTGATCTACGGGGAATGTTGAAACGCCTCAAGCGCATGAAGAAGGAGGAGAAGAAAAGCACATGTAAGAGAACATGTTTTCCTCCACCATTCAAATACAGTTAATTATCTCCTTTTAGAGAAGTGTGCCATTCAAACATATTTTTTTTCCGGATTGTGGTCTTTCTTCTCCTACTTCTATTTATTATCTAGAAAAGAACAGCTGGTTCTATAAAATTAGAAATGAAAGCTAAAGCTGACAAGGATAGGAGAAAAGAAAGAGGAAATTTATAAACAATAGAGGGAGCTTTGAAAAAAACACCAACTAAACCAATAAAAGTGAAGAAAGACGGGGTAGAATAGCTCAATACTGAATGGAAGATAGGGGAGTTGATGTACAAAGGGCATAAGCCAATGGTATTGGCATGATCCAAAATAACAAAAGCATTTTTGCGCTGTCATCTTGGAAGCTTCATCTCTTTTGTATATGCAAGCTATTGTATATCATGATAGATATTCAGAAGGGCCAAACTTGTAATATTCTTTCATCATTGTCTCTCCTTGACCCTTGCAATGGGCATCTCTGCTAGAGGGAAGTTACAAATATAGGCTCGGAAACAGTAAATAGATTTGAGAGCTGCTGTTTTCCTTGCATCACAGAAGTTCTTTGAAGCTTGTGACAGACAGTTTTCCCATTGGAAGACAATATTTATATTTCAGAGTCAAATTGTGGGGTTCTTTGTGTTCTTTGAGCTTGGTTGTTTTCTTGCAGCTATTTCATTGCCTGACTAGGTAACAGCATCAGTGCTCCTGATGTTACCTAGTTGGGAAGTGAAACATTTGTTAAAAAACAACAACCAAGCTTAGAAAGTATCAAGGTCCTCACAATTTCCCCAATTTTCACAATTTTCTTGACTAACTTCAGTTTCTGAGCTTAAGACATTCTTCCTTATATAGCAATTCAGCATCGTTCCAAGATGGCATTCTTTCTATTAAAGGTTTTTTTTTTTTTGAATACAGGAATATGAAAACTAATACTGTGGTGGCACAGTGGTTAGAATGCAGTACTGCAGGCTACTTCTGCTGATTGCTGGCTGCCATATAGTAGGCTGTGTTGCTATTATCCTTGTCATCTTCTCATCCTTTCTATCTTCTTGTCTCTCTCACCTTTCATCCTTCCTACTACCTTCTCCTATTGGTATATTATGAGGTATCAATTGCTGTTTGTAACTTATGATTTATGATCTATGACTTATGTTGTTGGTATGTACATTGAAAGCTTATGCACCAGAGACAATTTCCTTTTGTGTCCAATCACACTTGGCCAATAAAGAATTTTATTCCATTCTATATGCAGGCTTGACTACAAAGTACTGATATAATAGAGCTTGCCATTGAAAAAAAAATGCTACTAATATGGTTGTCCTGTGTGCAGAGTATGGACTTAGCTGAATCTCAATGAATGTCAGCAGATGTTAATATTAGGTTTATAAATATTTAGATGTCCTTATAAGCTAAATTTTTAAATGTTTTTGAAAATGGCAATAATAGTTTACCCTGGGTAGAAATTAAGAATATTAGGGAAATATGAGCTTCTTTTGTGAGCAGAGAGCTATTTTTTTACATTAAAGTTAGTGATTTTGATGCTAAAGTTAATCCAGATTTAAAGACAGTACCTGAATTGAACTTGATAACAACATGTAAATTTAGTAAAAGAGAATTAAAAAAAAATCATAGACTGTTCGCTTATCAAATAAATTAAATTTACATATCTTTCCAGTGAGTTATTGTTCTGAGAAAATTACTAGGGTCAATACCATAGTAATACTGGAACACTCAGAAAGATAACAGATTAGGATTAGATTAGCTCCAAAAAGATGTAAAACTGTCTGAGAGAATAATTTCACTTATATACTATAAATAAAATTCTTGCAATGCTCAAAACCGGCAAATATTGAATTCTAGCAATACATTGTGATGAACACAACTGAATGAAAACCATTTGAAGCTTATGTGTATAATATACCTTTTTGGTAGTTATAAATTTACAAGATTTCCATTTGGTATTTATTTCAGCTGCTACTCCTGAATATCAGGGAATGTAACAAAAACCTTTATTCAAAGTGAAAGAGTAATATGCTACATTGATATATATTGATCTGTTCTGAAAAACAAGATAAACAAGTTAAAGACAGTATGGTAAAATGGAGTGCAACTTTTAGTTGTAATATAAATATGGATATATGGAAGAAAGTGTGGAAAACTAAATTTACATTGTGTAAAAAAATTTATAAAATGTTTGATCACTGGTATGTGACACCACTTAAATTGTAAAAAATGTATAAAGGAATATCAAACCAGTGTTGGAAATGTGAAAAGGAAGAGAGACATTTTAACTTGTGAAAAAGCAAAGAAAAAAATATGGGTGCAAATTCATACAATTATGTAAAATGTATTGTGGATTAATATTACAATGAAACTGGAATTATCTTGGGTTTTATGGATGATGAACTAGAAAAATATGGGAAAACTATATCATATATGGTAACTGCAGAAAGATTATTGTATACACAAAGATGGGGAAAAAAGAAATACTACAGTAGAAGATTATAAAATTAATGGAGCATGTGGAAATGGAAGAGTTCAACAGTTTGATGAGGAGAAAAATAATAAAAAAAAACTTTTTAAAAGACTGGAAGCCTAAAATTGATTTTTATTGAAAGAAGAAAAGACTGAATTCATTATTTATGGAGATTAAAAAGGACCAAAGAGAAAGGTGGCAATTGCTTAATAGAAGGAAGGGAAGAAATCCTAATTCTCTGTATTCTTTTATCTAATTCAATTGTATAGCCAAAAAATTTTTTCCATACTATCATTGTTTCCTTTACTTGTTCATCTTCCAATTTAATGTATAATAAGTAGCTGTATGGTTTTTTATCATTTTTTCTTCTATCCCTGTTAGTATTTTGTCTAATTCCGTTAATTCTTTATAAAAACCATATAGTTTTGCATCTTTCTCATATCTAGAATGTATCTGCACTTGTGAATACCCTGTCATATCAATCCCTTGATCGCTTAATTCTTGTTTATTTTTGGTTTCCCCTATCATTCAAAATATCTTGATTGTTGCTTGTTTGGCTAAATGTATAGCTATACTTTATATTTTTCTGACAAGTTCAACAAAATTGTTGAATTTCAATGGTTAAATATCTGTGAGAGGGCATTTGCAGAGCTTAAGGCTTTGTTAAATAGGGTGCCCTTGCTGAGATATAATGTTGGCAAAATGTTTACTGCTTCTATTCACTAGAAGCTTGGGAGCAATATTGCTTCAAGATTGTTTACTAGGATCATACACTTCTAAAGCTATGACAACTGAAGATTAAAATTATTCTTACACTGAAAAAGAAGCATTAGCTATTCTGTCTGATTGCACAAGGTTTCATCAGTTTATTTATCACAAGATAGTGAATGTAGAAGAAGACAGATTGTAACCTTTGAAGCATCTGTATATCTGTCAAATCTTAGGATTGGAAGATGGCTGTTAATCTTTCAGAAATAGCAGTTGCAGTCTACTTATAAAGCAGGAAAGGAATTAATAATCATTGACATTTAATTGTGAAGAAGGATCTGATCCTGGAGAAACTGAACTCGCAGTGAATTTTATTATGCCCAATTTGTTTATAATTCTAAACTGAGAGGCATTAAAGTAGATGCCACCCTTTATTACAGAGTTCAGCCATCAATGTTGGTGCTGTAGACACTTCAGCCCTTATTCTGGAATGGGCTTATCGCAACTCAGCTAAATCAAACTTTTTATTGCAAATTGGGACGAAGTTGTATATATTCCTTTCAGTGCAAAGTCAAAGTTTCCATACTGTATATAATTATACCGACGTTTTTGAATTTCAGATAATTATACTGCCATGTCCCCATTGCCAGTCCCTATCTTACTCCTAGTGTCTTGGTGTTGTTGAAAGGTGCTGCCCTGATTCCATATTTGATTACCTGTCTGCAATTCCCTGCTCATCATCTCTGGGGCCCTTCCAATGTGAATAAGACAAATATATGTGTCTCGGGCTAATGTTGCAGGATCCAATCTGAATTGGTCACGATGAGTAGAGGTTTGTTCTTCCAAGGTTTTGGATTCGTGCTGGAGCCCACCTTCAGGGAATCTCAATTCTCAATGTGTGCATCCTAGAGATTGAGAAATTCTCTGGGGATGGACTGCAGCATGAGTTCAAAAGCTTGGAAGGACAAACCTCTGGTCCCAATGACCAGCTCAGATTGAATTCTTCCTCTGCTTTTATCTACCCCTCTTCTATCATAATCAAGTTGAATAATTTTAAAAAAACAGAATCATGAATAGACCTGAGTCATAAGGATCATTTTTATTTAGGATTTGTCGTTCTTTGCCTTGTGCAGCCAAAATGTTTATTTTTGTATTGAATTTGTTTATTAAGTTCTTTAATATCCAAAATCCATTGCATGAAAAAAATTTAAATGGAGACTTAAATGCAGGAGGATGAAAAGGATTTCTTGTCATTCTTAAACAATTCCAGATGACACTTTTGTTGTGGAATGTTCCTTCTAGACATAGAATTTTAGCCTGCCTCTTTTTCCCCACCTGCATTTCTACATTTTTTTCCATATCACAGAAATGCCCACTCAGGTTTTTAAAAAAAGCAGAATGGCTTTTGATTAATAGAGTCAGGAGGTCTCCACTTGGCAGCATTTGAGTTATAGGATGTATTCAAATAACATGAATCTTAATTTTAAACCAATTTTGTTCACAGCGTTTCAGAAGAGGTTGGATCCAGCATATCAAGTTGACAAAGGACAGAAAATCAAATTAGTGGTGGAACTTGCTAATCCAGATGAGGAAGTTAAATGGCTCAAGAATGGACAAGAGATCCAAGTGAGTGGCAGGTAATCAAGAGAACAAAATGAAAGCATTTGGATAAGTATTATACAACAGTATGAAATGTTATATGGATATAATGTGGAATATAGGAAATCATCAGAATGGGTGGGTGGGAATAGCAACCAGAGGCATCTATAGGTGGTTGAGGGTCAAAAAAAGTCAAGTTTGTGATTATAACTATACAATCACCCCATTTTTATGTGCAACTCACATAAATAAGGACTGGGCCTTAATTGCACAGTGATGGCCATGATCTTGAATCTTTTGATACCTCTAACCACTCACTCCAGAAGCCTCCAATATCAACAAAAGCTATAAGCAGTTGGGAAAATGAGGTGGGATTAATGCTTACTATATTGTAAGACTGTTATTCATATAGTTTTTCATGCCTGTTTTTTCTCTTTTCTCTGTTCATCCCTGCCTTGAATGAACCCCATTCATCATTTGTTCTTAGCAAGTAAGTCCTCATATAGCACTTCTTGTTTTTTCTATTTTCCTCATCTACAATATAACAAAGAATATATTTTTGCTGATTCCAACCCCCCCCCCCCCAAGTTTTCAGATAGAAGCTGAAATTATAAATAAGTCAATCTAATTTTGAGATCTTCTAATACAAGTTTGACTAGTCCTAAGTGAATATCTTTGAACTAATGATAACATACTACATGATCACTTGGCCATAAGTAAACTATCTAACATAAAACCATGGTAATTACCTCTGCCTTATTAAGAATTTATGAAGATGATAGTGTTTTTTGTAACCCGAATAACTGCTATATGTCTAATTGTTTTCATGCATATCTCAAGGAATAAATGAGTCCCTTAGTAGTCTTTTACACATTATTTGGTTATCTATATATATATATCGGGTATTTTCCCACGTCATTATAGTTGTGCTTTAAAAGTTGTAGCGACGTTTCGGCAGAATCTCATCTGCCATCATCAGGCTTCTGTATTGGGAAATATGATGATGGCAGATGAGATTCTGCCGAAACGTCGCTACAACTTTAAAAACACAACTATAATGACGTGGGAAAATACCCAAACAAAGCTGAATACCATACATGTAAGTACCTGTGAAAACTTAACACACACACACACACACACATATATATCATACCCATTATGCAATTCTTTTGGGGTGAGCAGCGTTATGCAAAGCACAGAAATGGGCAAAGAAATAATGTAATAAGCCAATCATGATCAGCAAGAGGGCATAGGACCATCCAAGCATTGTAAGATGCTTTTTTAAAGAGAGAAACCTATGGTAAAGAAAGAGAAGCAGCTCCCAGCAACAAGCAAAGAAAAATAAGAAAATCTGCTGAGTTATTTCACACTGAGCCCCATGAAAGAAAGTATACATTACAGCAAGAGAATTAAGGCACAAAATAAGAGGAACAGTATAGCTAAATGTAGTTTACCCCAAATCACTCATCTTTACCAATCCATACATTTGCCCTTAAAAACAGTTGTCTGTTATCACAATGCCCATGCCCCATGTCACACATTTACCTTCTCTCACCTCTTTTTTTGAGGATCCCATCAATTTCATCTAACTTTCCCATTCTTCCCCTTTCTCTCAATCCATTCACGTCATGCATTTGTTTTATGCCTTTCCTTGAGTCAGTCTCTCAGTCCACTGCAATTTATTTCATTAATACTGATCATTCTTGCATTAAATCCACATTCATTTGACACTATTGATTCTTCACCCTAGTGTTTCTTGTTTTGCTGCATATATCTTAAGTATATTTCCCCTGCAGTCAGTTTATTTCTATAATGTTCCTCAGAATGCAGGCAATTATTGCCATATAAACAAGTTTCCCCTTCTTTTGATAAACTTGCCATCAAATATATGCTACCTACCACTTTTCTATAGCATTCACAATATTGTCTTAAAATGTCTCCATCCATCTTCCCTTCTTTGATCAACATTTTATCAGGGAACCTAAATCTATCTCTTTTCCTCAATTTTTCATCATTAAGTATTTGTTCACACAGTTTCTAAAGTCAAACACAACTTTATCGCTCATTATACATTGATTTTCACCTCCATGTTCCTCACCACATTATGCAATCTAACATTCATTGCAAATCATTTGGATTGCAAGCCAGCAATATTGCAGCACCTTAATTCTGTACACATAACTATGTATAGCTTCATATCCATAGTAACACACCTCAAATTTCATCATAAACATTTCTTACATTTTTATTCATGAATACATTAAAAAATGTAATGATTTATCACAAATCCTCATCCTGGTGCTTACAGCTAAGCCATCTGCCAAGGAGTGCTTTTATTGTCATGTGCACTTTAGTTTTATTTACACAAATATGCCATTCTTACTCCATTCGGCAATCAACCATCGTCCATGTTCACACAAAATATTCCATCATTCAAGCTATTGTTTTATGTATGCTTTCATTAAATTGCAATAAGCTTTATTTCCCACATTCATACAGATCTTATTTGTTTTTGTCTATGTGTGAAGATGCAATACCGCCTTTCACTTTGTGTTAGGAAATAACAATTTTCTTCCAAACATCAGAAACAGATAAGTCTTTACACATACTAAACAAATCATACTATTATTCTGTATGTAAACCAAATCCATATTTTAATATTTCCCAAATTTCATCATCCATGCTTGTGGCTTTATAATTTTATTAAAAAATTATAATTTTTCAAGGTTCTCACAACAAGTATTACTTTCTTTTCATAATTTTTTCCCCTGAACATTAACATTTATAGCATTTGAGTTCTGTTCATTCATTTATTTATTATTTCTATGTTTATAAAATTATAGGCCGGCCAACTTACTTAAGGTAACTTTGATCTATCAATACCATTCCTATACAAATCTCTAAAACACTTCCACTAAGCATTTCTTCACTTCAGTTTCATCCCAAATTATTTCAACACTTTTATTAATTTTATTAATAAACTCTGATGGAGGCTTCTTTAATGGTTTTTCACCTGCTTCCATTTTTTTCATCAATAACACTGCATTTTCTTTCTCTTTTAAAAATGTAACTGTTCCTTGTTCTTTTTTTACTACAATCTTTGCAATTATCTCTTATCTTTTTTTCTCTACACACTGTATAGAATATGTGTATATGAACAGAGCTGATCAAAAATACCCAGGAATCTAAGTGATACCTATTCTGTGTTAGTTTTTTTTTTTTTTTAAATCCATTTCCATTTTTTACATACTTTTTATTATGGAATTTTAAAAGATAACAACTTATAAGAACTAATATAAAATTTTAAAAAAGGAACAAAGAAACAAAAGGCCCAAAGTGGAAAAAATAAGAATAAAAAGAAATAGAATGTACCTTCTAATAAGTACAAATACAAAATATCTCTTACTCAATGATTGCAAAAAAAAAACCAAACCTATTTTTCTATTATCTATTTTTTCTAACCCTCAAAACTGTAAATCATAAATTTATTTTTTGTTCTATTGCACACAAAGATTCTAAAAGAGGTTGCTAGTCAGCAATAAATATAAATATTGTCTTTTCTATAATCCAGGAAGTCAGTTTAGCCATCTCTGCAAGTTCCATCATCTTCATTTGCATTTCTCTAGATATATCTTTGAATCTATGGGAAATAAAAGGATCTTGACCATAAACCACTGCTCATTGGCTGATGACGCAGCATATCAGTGCGTGATTGGGGAAGAGAAGACTTTCACAGAACTGTTTGTAAGAGGTGAATGATTTATTATTGTTATTGGGTTGGGCTATGAGATGTACAGACTAAGACCTAGATTATAATTCAAATATTTCAAGCAACATCCTGAAATTCTACGTTTTGTGCAGCTGCAATTTTGCCAACCCAATGTTATTTTTGGCAACAATTTAATGTGTGTGTATGTGTGTGTGTGTGTGTGTGTAAGGCTTCTTCTCTTTTTTTCTCCATTATTTCCTGAACTTGAGAAAATTTATGCATGTCTGTATTTACCATATTTTACCTACCAGAAGGCATTATAAATATTTCTGCTTCTCTAATGAATATTACCCCATGAAATTGTCAAATCTTTGAATTCTCTGCAGAAGCTAATAGGTTATTGTGAACCTGAAAGTCTTCTGCATGTTCATTTGATACTTATCCAGACTGAATGAAGCGGCATTTACTTCCAACTATATCTCAGATTGGTTTGCAGAATGTTACTTTGTGTACCTTGATAAAAAGATAAAAAATAGCACAAATCAATCACAATTACTATATATTAAAATGAAAAGGTTCTAAAAGTTCTAAAATCAATTCTGCAGATTCCAAATTGCATTTCTGTATTACTTGGGTTAGTGAGTATTAGAATTGAATTAGAATTAAAATACAAGACAATTTTAGACATCATCTTTCAGAATATATTAAAAAGATAATGATTTACATTCAAAAGAGATTCCATTTAAAGGAGAATAAAGAAGCATGGTAATTCTATAAACATACAGTTGTGTATAGATGTGTTAGTGTTGACTATTATGAGCAGATGGTTTTGGCTTACAACTAAAAATTAAACAACAGTATGATTCAAATCATCAATTCTAAATCCTGACATTTTTTCAGTTATGTCCTTTCATCTTCTTAGCCAAAGAAGCAGCTTTCAGTTCTTTCTGAAACAAAAATGACAATTATAGGGCTAGAGGAAAGGAAGAAAAGTGTAAAAAAAAGGGGGGGCATATACCTTTTACAAAAGTGATCATATTTAGTTTGAGAACACAGAAATGGGAATAAGATAGTATAAGGTGAGTTTTTTCTTGTTTCACAGGAATGGGACCTAGCTCAACCTTTCCAACATACAAAACCCATATAGAGGGTTGGGTTTAATTGAAGGTAACTTGAATTGCAGCTGAAGACTGTTAGAGTAGGCCACAGGTGATGCAATTGCTGTAGTATGAAATAATGTGGTCCTGACCTTGGAAATGGGAAAGGAATCACTGAATCACTGTTAAAGAAGAATTAAAGAAGAATTTCAGAAAAGATGAGAAATTCAAAATAACCTTATCTTGATTTTGTTTAGGGTAAAATGTAGTAGGAGAAACCTTGACAAGCTTTCAAGGTAATGTCAGCCTTTCAAGGTAAGGGAGATCACGAAACCAAAAAAGCAGAAATTCCAGAAATGCTTTTTAAGTTGCTGGGTAGGTTAACAGTATCTTGAAAGCCTGTCTTTATTTCATATTGTACCAAACAAAATTGATGCAGTGTTGGGTTGAGTTTCATTTGGAAGTAATGCTGTCTAAAACTTCTCCCTTAACACTTTGCTCATTCCTTTCATCTTCCTAAGGCCAGGTCTACATTCCTTCACATTATTTTGAGCAATGCTGAGTTTGGCTGCCATTTTCATTTATTGTATTGCCTTATGGTTATTTTATGAATTTTGTGGAGAATTAAAACAGCAAAATCCATCTGTTTGATACTATTGAATGTACCAGGAAAAAGTTAAAGGGAGACCACAGAGTAATTACAGCATCCAAGAGTATCATATGTTACTATCATCCTGAATTCTGCTATAACATTGTATGGAATTGTATAAGTACAGCCAAGACAAAAAATGTCACTGTCATGAAAGAAAAGGGACAGCTTGAATAATGTGCAAAAATATTGTCAAGAACTTAGTTTTTGGAAGAAAATAAGAGAAAAATCTGGGACCGATTGATATTCTTTTTCTATTCTTCTCTTTTGTCTGAGGTTTTTGTGACCTTCTCAGAAAAACTTCATGCTCTTGAGTGGCACAGGACTATGCTGTTCTGGGTCTTGAAAAAGAAAATAAATCTTATTCCGCATGAATGTAGTCCAGAAAAATGAGAAACAAATGCTAAAGTTTTAAATTATCTTCACTTTCTGTAACAGAATGCAGTGAGGAGTTGGATCCCACAGGGAGCAGGTGCTTTCCAGAAGAATAATACACAACTCAAGCCAAATATTTTGTGTGAGAGAAGATGTCAAAACAGCCCCTCCCTAACAGTTCATGGAGGAAGATGCAGATAGTAGAGTGCTCAGTCTGGCAAGATTCTGTCTATAGGTGTAGAAACAACAAAGCACTCGGGTTGGAAGAATCACCATGAATCAATCTTAGTTTTTAGGCCTGTCATATTCTCCATTCTGAAATCAAGTTCTCATTTCATTTCTAGAGCCTCCCATCCTGATTACTCATTCTCTGGAAGACCAAGTGGTCACAGTTGGGGAAAGAGTGGAGTTTGAAGCTGAAGTGTCTGAAGATGGGGCTACTGTGAAATGGTAAAATAAAAGGGATGTGGGGGAAACCTTTACTGTTGAGGGGGAGTTATACCCTAAACTGGCCAAAGAGCTTTATTTAAAAAGATTAAGATTTCTTCTAATTGAGCTCAACTTTTGGTGATTTCATGGACATGCTTATTTGGTCTTCTTGGCAGCAACACAGAAGGAACTTCCTATTGCCTTCTTCTAGAATCTTATTCTGGCTTCCTAGTTAAGACTACTGCACTGGTATTACACCATGGCCTCCCCTCAAATACCCAACTAATCCCAACTACTTAGCTTTTTGAACTCAAACAAGGTTTTTAAAAAGAGAGGAATCATATTTCAGAATACCAAGGATAAAAACATATGGGTAGTCACTATCTGTCTTGTGTGACCGGAAAAGTGAGTTGAGGCCATAAGGCTCCAGGGAAGGGAGAGGGCCTTAGGTGACCCTGCAGAAAAAGCCACTCATCATTCTTTCTGGTGCGAAGCTAGCTCACCCTCCTTAGGAAGCATGTGAGCATGTCCTACAAACAGAGCTAGTAAAGTGTTGCGTTGAGCGACCGGTCTGTTGTTTAGATCTTCAGGTTGATTAGAAAGGGACCCTCGCAAGGGTGAGATAGAGAGAAGCCCTCGCAAGGGCGAAGTTTGGCAAGCAGCGTAACCCTAGCCAGGGTGATTGAGGGACTCTCGCAAGAGTGATTGCAAAGCTAAAAGAAAAAAGAACACAAGACGAAGATTTCTTTAGGTGAGACAGCGCATTGCTTTGGGCAGATGGAATTGCCCATTTGAGCCTAAGACAGATGGAATGTTTAGGCTGGCTCCTTGCTCTACGCTGTGCTCTTTTATTATGCTGAAAAGAGGGGGGTGAGGGGGGTTTACAGAAAGACAAAGAAGTTACAAAGTTTATCTTTTAGACCAGGCTACAAGTGATACAAATAACGAACTTATTGATTAATAGTTTTCCGGTAAACATGTCTTTACAGAATACACATCTTATCTGACAGACTTTTGAATATACATCCTTTCACAGGCTTTTGTGAAATATGTCTTTACTTTATCTGACACAGACCTCTGTGTTAATCTTATCAATTTAGCTTCTTCCTGTCAGTTATTTTCCTGTCAGTTTAGTGAACTTTGCCCTGAGAGGTATACGTGCTAAGCAGGATTTCTTTTATGGAAAAATACAGAGACAGAATATCCACA